TGCATGTCAATTAAATATAAAAATTATAAAATCTAAATCTAATAAATAATGTGGACATGTAAAGTAATTTACAGCATCAACAGAATGTAATGATAAATAGTAGTAGTGCATTAAATTTAATAGTATAATGAGTACCGTATATTTCATTTGGAATGGATACAATCTTAAAAACAACATCGAGACAGAGTAACCAGAGTATTGAAGCAGAGAATATTGCATATTGAGTATTTTTCCCTGTGTCCTCTTTCTTCAGACTTCTTCAAGAGATGACCCTTGAAGAACACAGAGCCCTCCACCCTTCTGCTGGAGAGGCAGCCAGGCCTGGTCTTTGATGCCTTCATGATGCATCAGCGCAGACATGGTGCCCCACCTTCTGCCGGAGTGCCAGGAGTACCTTGGTGTACTTGTGGTAACTGTAGGGAAATGCTTTGGCCAGGAGCAAGCGAACTGTGTGAGCCTACTGCCACACTTCTCCCAGTACTGCCTTGAAGAAGGCTTTATTCGCATTCACAGGCAGTACCGGGAGGACATTACGGCATTAGCAACATCAGGGAGCCTGGGGATGACAACAGAGAGTCCCTCTATGGTGCCTATAGACACTTCATCTATTGGCAACATGGAGCTTTAGGCCAGGGAAACCAACTTGTCGTCCCTAGTTGTTGTGTTTGGAGGATTAGAGACAAGTTTCCTGATCCTCAAGGACAGTACCTGGACTGTGAATTTCCTTCCAGGCCCTCTGGTATGGTCATACAGTTTCACACAATACTCACAAACCTGCCTCAGCATCATCAAGGCATCAAACAAATGTACATAGTTAACATTTGATTTATTATTACATTTCTATATATATTTATTCATATTTCTCCCCTCTTTTTAAATTTGATGTATGTTGTTAGTTATATTGTGTTTAGTTGTTCAACTGCAGTTCTATGGTATCGAAAAAATAAAAAGGTAAGAAATAGAAGCACATGGTGTTTTTATTTTCATTATACATTTGAACATGTGTTTAGAATTTCAAACTTTGCCATAACATTTCCAATACCAATTTTAGTTACTTATATTTACATAACAGGGGACAGGTGTAGCCTTACTTATCATTACTGTTCAAATTGTAAACTGTAATTTAGGCTACCTACTGAAAATAATATGCGCTGGTCACAGTGGACTTAGCAGAATAAGATGAAACGTGTACAAATTGGAAAAACATGAAATACCACTGGAGGAGGGTAGGAACAGAATTTAATGTTAATAAATTTCTCTTTTTGAAGAGTAAAAGCTATGACTTTGTCAGTGAACTGAAGTTCTTTCCCTTGTGATCCTGCTTGACAAGTACCAGGACACATGCAAGGTGATCTCCTGTGGGGATCCTTCCACATCAGATGCTGGTTGGAATAACGGTCCTGTTGAAGACAGTGCCATCAAACATAGTAACAGACTATATTGTAATGTAAATATCATTCAGTGACATGTAATACGGTACAACATAGGCAACAAATTTGTGTTACATACCTAGACCTCTTCTGACTTGTTTCTGCAACAATTCTGATGTGGCTGGTGCAGGTACGGGGGGCACCAAACCAAGCTGTCTGGGGTCATCTGGGAGAAGGCTCCTCCTTCTAGGCATCCCCACTCCACTTGTGAGTCTGTTCTTCACAATCCTTCTTTGCAACTCGGAAATGTATCCGTAGGTTTTTTCAGATTTCAAGGCATACCGTTCTTCTTATACAATCTTCTGAAACTGAAATTACACAATTACAACCATTTAATATCAGTTTGTACGTAGAACAAGAGAAAACCTTGAGTGTAAAGACAATCAATTGCATATAAAACATGGACTGAATATTGTACTATGAATGGGAATATTATACAAGTGTAAAACGTACATCTCTTTACCGTCCAACGTTTTTCATTGTTGGTCGGTTCCGGTGGAAACTGTAGTCCAAAGCAGCAAGCAGAACTCTTGCCGCATAAACTGGGGGCTGAAAGCAAAGTGCTTGCTGGCATACATCAGGATATGATTCTGGAATGACTCTAGGTCTGCAGTCGATCTGATAGAACAAACAAATACATACTTCTGTGTTCATGAGCAGTAAGCATAAATATTACTAATATACATCATTCTGAAAAAGTATAGCCACACTACCTGAATTGCAGATAGTTGTGAACATCTTTCTGCCACCTCTTATCGAGAACTATATCCACTAAAGCTTTGTGGCACTGGGAGTCTCTCTGGATCCACATCTTTCCCCGCATTTGATCCGATTCAAGGTGCCCGTGTTTGCAACTTCCCATAGTCCAGGTGTGAATGTTGCAGATATGGTGAAGGATGCCAACCCATAATGCCTGCAAAACATAAAAATGCACTATAAATATCTCCTTAATATAGCAATGAATGAAATTACTCAAAGATATAATAAAATTGTGTGCTTACAAGAAACTGCCGACGTGTGTCAGCAGTCTTGCAACACCACCGAAAATGGTTGACTATGTCCTTCAACCAGTTGAAGAGGATGGACTCTCCTTTTATCTTTTGCTTTATCTGTAAAATACAGGCATTCAACTATAGTCTGTGTGTAGAGATGAAAGTGTAAATGTTCAACACCCCCCCCTCCCCCCAAAAAAAGAAAACACTAAATGACTACACCAAATGTCTAGAATGAGTAACACATCTTCTGGCAGAGGAAAGTAAACAAAATCTGTTGTCTTTGAGTACAATGAAACTTCCATACTGTCATCCATCAACTGCACATAGTTCAATAACCCTGATGTACAGAATAGTAACTTTATGGTTAATAATTGTTTCACAACATTAGCCAGTTATTACGCTTACTGCTGCAATTTTTTTGGCAAGGTTCTTTGCACCATGCCCTATGTCCAGACAGTGATGAATTCCAAGGGCCTTGTATTTGCCTTTGTCTGGGTCTATGAAGTGGTAAATAATATCATGTTACTATAATATTTATATTGCTGTTATACACACGCATCTATACAATATATCACATGAATACTACTCATAAGGGCACCAATCTGGGCATGAGCATCTGTGCAGATCTCCACTAGCTTTATCTCTGATGTAAGCTTGTCCAGTCTGGATGAAATCCTCCTTCTCCAAGACGACAGAGTTCCATGATGTTTGCCACTTGTCTATGGTGGCAACATGAATGATCTCCTTGGTGTCATTCTCCATGGTGGTGTAGCTGCAGTATTGTGCACATTGACCAGGAGAGTCATTTCTGCCATCCATTGAAATTTTTTTAAATATAATTCAACAGAAAAACAGTTATTAGTTGTTTCCATACTGTCACTGCTTAGTGTATTCAATAGCTATGTTACATAATACAGTATCAACTACACACCTAGGACAACAACATCTTTCCCTTGAAGGCGACAAAGAACCTCTGTCCTTCTCTCTTCCCAGAAGTCCTTTATTGTATTGACGCAGTAACTGTCCTGAATGGAGAAGAAAGTGTTCCTGTTCACCATCCCCATGTTCATGAATTTGAACAAGAGGGCAACCTTTGCGTAGTTGTTGCCAGACAACAAAATGTTGGTGTACAAGAGAAAATCTCCAGCTTGCATCCCAAACTTCATCACAGGCTGGGAATTCCACCTCCACAAGCTGTCTCCATTAGGGCAGATCTAAAAGTCACAGAGAAGAAACATTTGCTTTTGTCATGTACAGCACTGGCTTTTGGTATAACCTTTCATTTTATACTAATTTAAAGTTGTGATATTCTGTGATTGTCTGGACTTACCCATTCGATAGTAGCTGCTGTGCCCTTGGTGGTGATGTTGATCTCAAAGGGTGCAACACAGTTGCACGGCGCACCAGTCCTCAGAAGGCCAGTGCATTTATCCACAGGCAGGATCAGAAATGTAGCCAGTTGTCTTAAGCAGTTCTCGTACACTATGGAGGCTCTGACACCTATGATGTCATCTTCACAAAGGACATTCTGTGGTTCTGGGAAAACAAGGTCATGATCACAGGGAGAAGGCTCATCAGGAGTATCTTCATGTGCAGGCAAGGAAGTCCATCGATAGAGTGTGCTGTCTTCAGTGCTCCACCCATTCTATTGAGGCACAAAAATCTGTAGTAAACAAACACCACAAAACAATTGCAAATTGAGACTGACAAATAAGACACCGTATAGAAATCGGTTGAAGATCCTCTTCATCAGAGCTGAAACCATTCTGTCCATCATCTCTTATAAGGGAGTAAGATGAAGCTTCATCTGCCCAATCAATTCTTTACATAATGACAACTTTCAGATAAAAACAAGTTCTCAAATAATATCACTGAAAAATAATACATGTAATTAGGAAGTACTACTTACACACTGTTCATTGGGTCATTGAAAACATTTTCCTCCAAGTCCTCCTCAACAATGCTCAAGTCATGTAAGCTGCAAAAAACATATTACAAATATATATTATGAACATTTGGAGAAAAGCCATATAGGGCTAAAAGTTATGATGTGTACATGTTACCTTTGTTCAAGGCCCTGAATTTCTGTGGCTTCTGGAATGACATCAAGATGCTCATCTCTGTAAAGAATAACCAGAGAAAGTTGTGTAAATCCCACATATGCTCATTCAACAGTAGATATAGACCAAAAATAAATAACACACTATTACACACTAATCATAAAGTTCATGTTTCTAATCAAAGCTATTAGGACAAAATTAATATATTGTTATGCATGACTTACCGGTCTGTTCCACTAGAAGCAAGTTTTCATTTGCAATGCTAAAGTTGGAATACCTTATCTGTCCATCAGAAAACAGGCAACTTCGGTGTCGCTTTGAAAATTTTTTCCCTCATTAGACCCTTCTATCTGGGAAAAGCCACACCGATGTTTACGCGTGATTTCTGCCTGCGTCGCTCCCGTATAAGTCTGGCTTCATCATGCTTTTGCTTCTTCAAAGCAGATTCACCCTCCGTCGGCTCTTGTGCTAAATAATAGCTGTGGTCCTCCATTTGTCCAAAATTCCACTACTAATAAAGGAGAGCTTCTACTACTAGTAATTAGAAACGTACAACTTCTTCTTGCTCTTGCTCCTACTTCTTCTGCTGCTACTTCTTCTGTTGCTTCTCTTTCAAACAAGACACAATATGTCGACCTCCACAGCAGGGGTGCCTCGTGTATGTAGATATAAATAGCTCATTCTAAGGTAATGAAAACACAAGGGTTCATAATGTAAGGTCTTTATACACCACTGAAAACATAGTTATGGATATTATATTGCATTTCTGTCAATATATCCTCAGATATATTATACACTGAACCTTTAACTAGTAACTATAGGCTATTTATGTTATATTAAGTTGTTGCAGTTAAACTGCCATCATTTTAATTAACACCTAAAACACTGCTGAGTGTGCAACTGTGTGTACACGTTGTCACAGTTAGCCATGGTTTTCGTTCACTTTCGGTGTCGGAAGTTTCATCTGGGAAATATCCTAGTTCCGATCGGTCTTGAACACAGCATAACTCCTTCTAAACTTTCTACCAATCATAACACTCTTCCAGGGACAGCATATCCACACTGAAGAAAGTATCAGTATTCGGCTGCTCGACCTGACTAAGTGGGCGGGCCACAACACGTTGATTGACAGTTAAGGAAGAGGAAGGAAAAAGCAATGACAATAGGTCTGTAAGGAAAAAGCAATGACAATAGGTCTCTAAAGGAAAAGCAATGACAATAGGGCTCCTTGGGGAAAAGCAAAAGCAAATGTATGTATTTATTCTTTTATTCATTCATTCTTTCTTTGATATATTTCTGCATTTATTTATTTATTCTTTTATTCATTCATTCTTTCTTTGATATATTTCCCCATTTATTTATTTATTTATTCATTCATTCTTTCTTTGATATATTTCCCCATTTATTTATTTATTCTTTCATTCAGTTCTGTCACTTTGGATGTTCCATACAGCCATAGCCATCACGTTGTCCACTTTCAACTATAAGGCAAACAAATAATTATTAAGACCGCTCTATTGAGGGAGGGCTGTCTGTATCATGTAAAGATCTATTAGCCTATAACAAGATAACAGAATTGATAGTTATTAGAGGAGGGGCCTGCAACCCATATTAAGAAGTTACTGTTTAAGGCAGGACCCTTTATTCATGTAACTAGTGATGTATTTGAGATTTGGGTCGATATTGCTTACATGTCTTATTTTACTCAAATGGAAAGAAAACTCCCTAAATACACATGTATTATTTTAATTAACATAATTAACATAATTAACATAATTTGTGTATCAATGTGGCAATTGTGAAAACGTTATTAGGCACGTGTTACTGTATTTTCCTGTAGTGTTTCCATTAGGTACTGTACATTAGCCTGTATGGCCATGATATATTGCCTTAGCTAACTATATCCATTACATTAGCTAGTAGCTCATGAGTCATGCATGTTAGCAAGACACAGACTAACTATATTTATCTTTTGGCTTTTGGCTAATTAGCTGTAAACTCGAGGCACTGGTAGCATAGACTTGACTAGACACGGTGGAAGAAAGAGGGAGAGAAAGTGTCATTTTGTTGTTTATTTGTGCACGTGTTTGGAAATGGTAACCAACGTTACCGTTAGTGGTAGCGACCAGTGGTCTGTGACAAGTGGTCTGTTGTAGCGACAGGAAAGCCCCGAAAACCTAAGATAGATAGAATTATTGCTGCAACAATAAGAATATAGACATAATCTATAATATAGTGTATTAAACATAACATATGATCTAACATTAGATAGATTTATTACTGTAGATAGGCTATAACCAAACAAACTGCAATATACAGTGCTACAATAAGAGTAGCCATAATCGATAATATAGTATATTTAACAAAATATGATCTAGAAATATTTTTCTCCGTAGATATCCACACAAACTGTAAACAGTGCAACAATAAATAACTCGATAATTTAGGTTATTTAATAGTCAAAGGTTTATGGTGTCCGACATGTAGACTTTCATCTATCAGTGCCAACACAGCCAGGAGTCCACAACCAATCATCCACGGACGACAACCTGTCCCGGCCAGTGCCCCAGTGGTCTGTGGGCAGCGACCAGTGGTTGGTGTGGCAGCGACCAGTATCAGCGCCACAGTGGTCTGTGGGCAGCGACCAGTGGTCGGTGTGGCAGCGACCAGTATCTTTAGCGCCCCTAGTTGTAGCGACCAGTGGTCTGTGTGGCAGAGACCAGTGGTCGGTGTGGCAGCGACCAGTATCTTTAGCGCCCCTAGTTGTAGCGACCAGTGGTCTGTGTGGCAGAGACCAGTGGTCGGTGTGGCAGAGACCAGTGGTCGGTGTGGCAGCGACCAGTATCTTTAGCGCCCCTAGTTGTAGCGACCAGTGGTCTGTGTGGTAGCGACCAGTGGTCTGTGTGGCAGCGACCAGTGGTCTCTGTAGCAGCGACCAGTGGTCGGTGTGGCAGCGACCAGTATCTTTAGCGACCCTAGTGGTAGCGACTAGTGGTCTGTGTGGCAGCGACCAGACCACAGCTACAACCCCCTCTCAGCTAGATTCAGACAGACTGTCACCTTTTTCAAGTAAGCTGCTCCTATATACGCCATCGATACTGTATCATGTCAGGGAAAATAATTCCTTCCCAAAGAATACGGAGAAAAATAGATGAGTAGAATAATTTCTTTATGTAACGTGGCCACGGAGAGAACGCACGGTTACTCTTCCAAACTCAGCATTTCCTCTCCTTAAGTACAGAACAAGTACAAAGCAAACAACAGCCAACAAATGGTAGATGAAGGAAAACAAATGGCAGAGTATTAGCATACAGCCAAAAAACTCTTCCTGAGGTAAGAAAGGAAATGCAAATGTATGTGGCATCTGTCTCTGTCTCTTGATTGGTCTATGTTAAAACTCTCACCTACATGCCAGCAGATGTTTATTGTAAATCAGACAATCTTTTGTTTAGGAATAAAAACCCTGTTAATTACAATGAAATCCTAAAAATCAGCAACTTATAATGCATTTCTCACATTCCCTCTAATCAAAATGGTAGGATTCACTTTAAAACTGTCTTAGTGGGAATAAAAATAAGGAGAACATTAGATGTTTGATGAATAGTTAAAACAATTAATTAGAAACAGAAAAGGAAAAGAAAACAATAAAAAATATGAAGGACTAGATTCGTAAAACCTACATCATCTGTACGTTAAGGCTGACCTAAATGTGTTGGGCAAGTTTTAAAAAATGTAGAATGATTTCAGAAAAACACTTAATACAGGGGTTAAAATAGCCTACATGCATGTTCATAATACCCTGGGGGCCAGAATTGGTCATTTACCCATTTGTTGGAAAGAAAACATGAACTAAAATGATACAATATGCATAAGAAAACCTGCATACAAAATAACAACAATAACACTAAAAAGAAATAAACAATCAAAAACAATAATTAAAAACATGGAAAAATAAACAAAAGAAATATACCAGCAGATCATCTTTGTAGTTCAAAAATCCTTTTTTTTTTTTTCTACAATTTGTAGGGAAACGTCTATCATCTTGTTGGGCTAGTGACCAGAGTTAAAGTACTCGTGCTGACCAGGACGATGGTGAACACTGCAACCGTTGTCTTTCAGCAGAATGTCTTGCAGCAGAATTTTTCCGTCCATCTTCATCTCTCAGGCTGTCTCGTGTTGGGATGCACGGGTTCACATGTTTCTCTCAGCTCTTCTGGGAGGAGACTTCCAGTTGAAGTTGTCTGTATCACCTGAGGTGATCTTGAATGTCTGGTGATGGTCTCACTGCTTTCTCTGCCCCCACTTCATCCTATGTAGTCTGCAGCTGACTCCTCTTCCTTCTGTTTAGTGTTGTGGATCTCAGGCCAACAGACTCTCAGGGGGAAAACCATTCGCACTGCATCATACAAGGTGTCCATCATGGCACCAAACTGAGTTAATCCCACTGATGGTGCTGTGGACCAGATGACAGGTCGAATATTGGCCCATCGGAGCTTGAAACACTTCCGACACACAGCTTCCACTTCCTGCAAAGTTGGATTATACATGGACAGCAATTGCTTCATTGATGTAACCCACTTCTCACCACCAGTTTTCTGAGGATTAGGGAGTTCTTCTGCAATTTCTCTTAGTTCATCTGGCTGCCATGGCCGTTACACAAACACTTCTGGATCCCAGTGGGCATGTTCCTGCTCTCCCGTTGGCAGTAGCTGTGCATCCCTTTCTTGTGTTTGGCTCCTGAGCCAGTAGTCAGAAGTAGCTGCGACTGGAGATAAAAGTTTCTTGGGAAGAAAACAGTTAGTTTGGGTGTTCTTCCCATATTATCTTTGTTCAGTCACTGTTGTGTTGGGTGGAAACTCTTTCAGCCCTATGACACTTGCATGATGGTGCACTTTTTTCGTTCACAATTGTGTGCTAGCCACTGAAAATAGCTTATCACAGAGTTTTCTATATTTATCATCTCATACAGCACCCACAGATATTTTCCCTCCTTAGTGGAACATAATGTTTGAAACGAACACTTATCACATCATATCCATCCATCCATCTTCATCTGCTTATCCGGGATCGGGTCGCGGGGGGAGCAGCTCCAGCAGGGAACCCCAAACTTCTCTTTCCCAAGCCACGTTAACCAGCTCTGACTGGGGGATCCCGAGGCGTTCCCAGGCCAGTGTGGAGATATAATCTCTCCACCTAGTCCTGGGTCTTCCCGAGGCCTCCTCCCAGCTGGATGTGCCTG